TTTTCAGAGAGAGGGGGAGGGAGAGAGAGAGAGAGGGAGGGGGAGGGAGAGGGAGGGAGAGAGAGAGAGAGAAAGAGAGGGAGAGAGAAAGAAACATCTATGTGAGAGAGAAACATTGATCCTTTGCCTCCCACAGGCGACTGGACAGGGATCTAACCTGCAGCCTGGGTCTGTGCCCTGACCCAGAACTGAACCCACTACTCCTTGGTGTACAGGACAACGTTCCGACCAACTGAGCCACACAGGCCAGGGCTAAAGATTTTATTTTTATATTTATAAACTAAATTCTAAGGTAATGTTTTAAAATTATGTAGTAGCTTGTTATAGGCTGAATTATGTCCCACCTTCCACCTCATATTTACATATTGAAGCCCTAGCCCAACACGAGGGAACCTGGAGAAGGGATCATTAGGATTAGGTGAGGTCATGATGAGAGGCCCGCAGGATGAGATTAGTGCCACTATAAGAGGCACCACAGAGCTCTCTCTCTGCCAAGACCTTGGACATCCAGCCTCCAGACTGTGAGAAAATAAATTACTGTTGTTTGAACCACCCAATCTATGGTATTTTGTTATGGCAGCCAGAGGGGATTGTATGTAGAAAATAAAATTGATGTGATCTTTACAAATAAAATGCTGATCACGTTTTGTTGAACAGCTACAGGGACTCCTACAAGTTTATTATCCTTTCTTTCTTTAACCAGGATATCAAAAGCAGGTTATTTTTCCCAAAAGGTTATTTTATGCCAAGTAAAACAAAGTCAGGATGTGCAATAACTTGAGCCCTACAGAAACTGGAATGTGTAATACATACCACGTAAACCTTCTACTTCTGCCCTATTAATTGGAACAAATGGAAATGATTTAAATATTGAAATAAACCCTTGCAAAGAAACTTACAGCACAAAGTCCAATTTTGTCAGAGTTTAACAAATATGGTTTCTTAGTAAGAATGGAAGTTTAACTCTTCACGTTGGAAAACATGACTAAATTATTTTTGTAATGCACACTCCTAAGATCAATAAACCGATCAGCATCTCTACCACTGCCCACACTGCCCATAAAATATATTGAATAAAACATGCAACATTTTCTGTTACAAGATTTGCTCAACCTATAAGACTGCTCCTTAAAGAATGCGCTAAAATTAGCTTATTAAAAGTCTCCAGCCATTTCAAATCACTCCTGATAAATATTAAAAAAAT